TGTATAGAGACAGCCCCCCCCCCCCCGCGCGCTAAACCTGTAATTTATATAATTAACTGAAACACACATTTGTCATACATATTATTCTTGTAATTTTTTATGTTTGATATATTTGTTATATAATGAGTTTTCTTTTAATTTCATTTGCTATAGCATAAAAATGTTATTTTTTTGTAACTGTTATATAATCTTTTAGTATATTTATTATTATTAATTATATGATTGGTTGAACTAGTGACCTAACAGTTGAATTAGTAACACATTGGCTCGATCCCTTTGTTGAATTGACGTCCAGACCCAATTTGAAAACTATGCAACAATGCTGNTATAGCATAAAACATGTTATTTTTTTGTAACTGTTATATAATCTTTTAGTATATTTATTATTATTAATTATATGATTGGTTGAACTAGTGACCTAACAGTTGAATCAGTAACCCATTGACTCGATCCCTTTGTTGAATTGACGTCCAGACCCAATTTGAAAACTATGCAACAATGCTGCTTTTACTAATTTAGTGAACCAATTTAAGACCTAACATAGTGTAATTAGATTCATAGTGGTTCAAAATAGGGAAATTTGGAGGCCGATCCCCATAGGTGGACTTATTTGGAGATAAATCCGACAAAAAAACTTATTTGGTTTTAAGTCCGTTTTGGGCAAGTTTACTTTTGTACCCCTACACTGTCAAAAACCCCCNAAGACCTAACATAGTGTAATTAGATTCATAGTGGTTCAAAATAGGGAAATTTGGAGGTCAGTCCCCATAGGTGGACTTATTTGGAGATAAATCCGACAAAAAACTTATTTGGTTTTAAGTCCGTTTTTGGGCAAGTTTACTTTTGTACCCCTACACTGTCAAAAACCCCGTAAACGACGTCTACTTCTCCAACTTCTTCACAGACGGACACACAGAGACCACGCCTCCTTCGATTTCGCCTTCAAATTCGGCGATTTTCTTCCAAACCACCTAGTTTCCTTCTCCAACATTTAGTAACTGGTGTTTCAAAATCCAAACCGACTCCACTCATATTCAAATTTCAAAACCCATTACATTCCATAACAATACAAATTCAATTTTACTATTCAAGTTTCCTGTGGACACCATTGACAAAGTTGCAAATGACTCTAGACATTCTAAACATCTTCACATCTTTGGGATTCTGAAAATAGGGTTAAGGTATGTGATTTTACAGTAATATTGATGTTCATTGTAGGGTTTCTAAAAAACTTCTACATAGTATAATGCTCAAACTGACCATTGTTTGTTTTGCATTCTTAAATTAAAAAATGAGATTCATTATTACTAATTAAACGTGTCATAGATTTCTATTTTGTTGATTTCTTTGTTGTTACAGACAATCGATTAGTAATTGGTTTTGTGGCTGTGAAAATACATCATGTTACTGTGTGTTAACTAGAATACGGATTTCATAATTTCACTGTGTTCTCGTTTTGGGTTGAGATTCCTAATCCAAGTGTCAATCATCGGTAGCTAATGGTGTGTTAATAGTAGAAATCTTATAAGATTTCAATGTGTCAATCGTATTTTCACTATGATTTTTTGAAAAATTGATGTTACTATGGATGTGTTGCTGATCACAAAAATTTTGATTTTACTTTGAAAATTAGAGGTGTATGTTACATCATATATACCTCAAGATTTGCAAATGGTAGTGTAAGTGAAAATTTGTGGTAGTTGTGTGGTAGTTGTGTGTTACTATTAGACATGCTTGAAATCTTCATTTTGATTATTGTTCCATTTTGATTCGTTGTGTTAGTGTGGAAATAACATGACAACAATTAACTATGGTCTGATACACTTTAATGCACCATATGTTGTTTCCAAAGAGTTTAGGAGTTGCTATTTGATTTTAAATGTAAATTGCGAGTGAATCATTTGTTATTCAAGTAATGAAAAATGATGTTACTGAATAACAATAATCATAATATCACAAGTTTCCTCAAAATGTTTAAATTACTTTTGAACACTGTTGTGTATAATGTAATGATCATTCTATGAAATTGTAACATGGGAACTCAAAATTGTATTTGGTTGATGTTACTAAAAAGATGTTACTAGGATTCAGTTAAGAAATTAATGTTACTAAGATCATGTTACTATATTTATATCAACAACTTTGGTGGTACTGTTCATGTTACTTTTGCACATAAGTTTTGCTAATTGTTTTATATCCATTATGTTAGCTGATTTTGTGTCATGTTATTATATGATGTTCAGATATTGATAATTCAATGTCGTGTTATAGGTTGATGGAAATCACAGGTAAATCTGCTACTCCAAAAGCGGCTTCATTTCACCAATTCCAGTCTAACTTGCTTCCATTGGTGAATGTTATTACTAACCTAGACATCAAAGATGTTCACAAAGAACAGCTAAAGAGAACACCATTTTGGCATTTGTTTCATACAATATTAACATCTGAAGTGGACAAAGAATGGTTTAAGAAGAATGACAAAAGTATTGTTGACATAATTATCACGTTTGATGTTAAAACATCAAGATTTCGTATTGGTAGAAAATGTTCAAAGATACAGAAGAATGATGTAACCCTCATTTTTGCTTCCATTGTTAATGGAATCTTTTGATCCAAAATTGAATTAATAAACCAATGATTTTGTCGTAATTCAAGCATTATATTATGATATATTCGGTTTCCATAAAACACTGAACAATCTGTTACCATATATATCTCAAACATCTAATCTATGACTTTCCATAATTGACCAAAATTAACACCGTTAGGGGTGTTTTTGAGAAAAAAAAAAAAGTGGACTCAAGTCATTACATATAATTTTAAACATGGACTTAGCTCCCCATAAATTTTCTTGCTGGACTTATCTCCAAACAAGTACATCTAGGAGGACTCACCTTTAATTTTCACTTCTAAATATTTAATAGACCCATTTTTTATTGCAATAATAAGAATGGATAGAATCTTATGAGCGGTCGTCTTCAGCGATGCATGAAATTTGTAGTATATTTCTATATCATCACTGTCATCCTACTCCCAGCCCGTCGTCCATCCAATTCTAACGTTATAAGAAAATAATTTACTAATATGCTAAATTTATATTTTACAAAAATTTAAATGTAAATTAGTTAATAAACATGAAAAGGAATCAATGTGAAGTAGTTATCAAAAGTTAAAAATGGTTATAGGCCACATATTGAATTCAATTGGATGAGGCCAATTAAGTAATTCAAAGTTAGGAGAAAATATAATTTGAGGAGGAAAAAAGTCTCAAACATTCTCTCCTAAACCATTCTTTTTCATATAGTATATATTACTATAATTATTGGCTAGTATAATTTCTCTTGAGCAACATTTTCCAAGGTAGGCGAACTTTTGGCCAAGTCAAATATTTGATGCAAAATTTGCATTGTAGTTGCTACTTTACAATATATGTAATTAATAATTTCATATTGTTAAGTGCAGAATCTCTTGTGATTTTTTTTTTGTTTGGTTTGCTTTGTATGACTCAATT